CCATTGTCAAAAAGAACTAGCAAGAAATTCAATATTTCAAGGAGTCATGGTAGGGCCCCTAAATGATGCCATTTGGCAAAACAAAAATAAAGAAAAAGTCAGTCTCTACTGTCCAGAGCTGTCAATTTAAATAGAAAATGAACAGAACTCAGCGCCTTCATCAATTTATAAACAGGTTGAGTATCCCCTCTCCAAAATGCTTGGGACCAGAAGCATTTAAGATTCTTGAAGGCTGGGGTTGTGACTCTGTGGTAGAGCACTTGCCTAGCATGTGTGAATAACTGGGTTCAATCCTCATCACCACATTAAAAAAAAAACTAAATAAATAAAATAAAGTGGCTGTAGCTGTAGTTCAGTGGTAAATCACTTTCCTCCTTTCCTCACATATGAAAGGCACTGGGTTCGATCCTCAGCACTACATAAAAATAAAATAAAGATATTGTGTATCCATCTACATCTAAAAAAAAATTTAAAAGTAAAATAAAATAAAGGTATCGTGTCCATCTACCACTAAAAGATTTTTTTAAAAGATTCTTGAATATATGCCTATACATAATGAGATATCTTGGGGATGAGACCAGTCTAAACATGAAATTCATTTATGTTTCAAGTACATCTTAAACATCAAGTCTATAATTTTCTACATTTTTAGTGCACTTGTGTTTCAACAGCAATCCATCACATGAGGCCAGATGTGGACTGTTCCACTTGTGCTATCATGTTAGTACTCAAAACCTTTGGGATTTTGGAGCACTTGGGATTTCAGATTTTCAGATTAGGGATGCTGAACATTTTGTACAGGCTCAATCGCACTAAAAAGACAGAAAGGCACTAAAGTTCCAACATTAATTTCACTTCTGAGTCAAGTAGTCAGTCACTGTCAGTCTGCCACACAGAAAAATCTGTGTTTGGCTCCTCTGATTACTGCTGTCAGGCCTGCTGTTGGGTTGTGGGTAGCTCCCTTGCAAGGAAACACTGACCACCCTCAGTTTGGGCATCCAGAGCACCACTCCCTGCCCTGACCCCCCCCCCCCAGTGTCTTCCCTCTGCTGCTGCTGCTACTGTTGAAACCCCTCAGTAGACACTGAATGGAAGCATCTGTGGAACGTGCAACAGCTTGGAGAAGCAACAAGATGGTCCTCCTGCCCCAAACGTCTTTAATCCAGTGGCCCACGTTTCTTGATTTCTCTTGGTTTGTTTCAATTACATTCACTCAGATTTTCTCCCCTGAATACAAATCTTCCTGTGAAATGTCAAGAATCTCTTGATGATCAAATCAGTTCAATCTTTTTTTCTAATACCTAGCTGAGACAGGCCAGACTTGAGTTCAATTTCCACTTTTATAAACATGTATTGAGCAACTAAAGGTACCAGGCAGCCGGGCAAGATGGCACATGCCTGTAATCCTAGCAGGAGGATTGCAAGTTCAAAGTCAGCCTCAAAACAAGGCGCTAAGCAACTCTATTTTGTATTTAAATAAAATACAAAATAGGGCTGGGGATGTGGCTCAGTGGTCAAGTGCCCTGAGTTCAATTCCCAGTATTCCTTCACTCCTCCAAAAAAAAGCTGCCAGGCAAAGTGAAACAGATAAAGACCATAGACAGTTTTATTACCACCCAAGTCAGATTTCGCCATTGAATGAGCTTCCCATTCAGTGAGACATGGGGGGAAAGGAATGGCAGGGGGCATTTTTCAAGCGATGATAGGAGTGATAAGTGACATGAAAAAGGAATTGAAGGCTGATGCAGCAGCTTGGAGCAAGGAAGTTCACCAACCTGGGGTGGAGGAAGAATGCTCTGAGTAGAGACTTGGAGGACAGGTTAATATTGAGCAGGGGAAGGCTGGAGGAGAAAGGTATCCCAGGCCCCAGCTGAAACCTGTTGACTACAGAGAAAGCAGGGACAGCCCTACTGTGGAAGTCCTGTGGATTTCATTCTTGTGCCAAGAAAAGTGACTGAACGGTTTTAAGCAGGTGAATGACCTCAGTGGGCCTGAACTTTAAACGATCCTTCTGCTGCAGTGAGAGAATGAAATGGACCGTCAATAGCCAAGCAGGAATCTGTTGCAAGAGTCCAGGTAACCAAGGGGTGTCATGCAACTGGGAAGAAGTGGCAAGAATCAAACACCCAGGAGGCAAAAGCCATAGGATTTCGTTATTTATAGGAGATAAAGGAGAAGAATCATCTTAGGCTTCTGGTTTAAGCAATGAGATGAATGGTGGAGTCCTGTACTGAAAAGCAGCTTTGGGTTGTGGGTACAGCTGACGGGTACAGCATTTGCCTGTCAAGCTGGATGCCCTGGGTTTGATCCCCAACACCACATGCCCCAAAATAAAATATTATATTGAGGATCAGGTTTAGTTAGGGGTAAGATAATAAGTCCAAATCCAGATATGATGCTTTTGAGGTACCTGGAGACAGCTCTGGGATACCCACTATTTAGCAGGTGAAGGGTTGGGAAAAAATGCCCATCTGGACTTAGCAGCAATAGGACAGCAATCTCCTAGTAGGCATGCAGAGAGTGAAAAGAGATGACTAATCCTTAAGGGATGAGACAAGCTAGCAGTGGCAGGTCAAGGAGAAGGTGTGGGAGCAGCCAGGTAGGTGGGAGGTAAACAAGGCAGGTGTGGTGTCCCAGAATCAAGGTTAATGAGGACACACAGGCTGAAAAGGATACCTGGATTTGGGGACCTGAAACTCATTCACCAGCTGCTTTAGTGACAGTATTTTCAGAAGTGGAGTGGGGGCAGAAGTCAGTTTTCAGTAGGCTAATATGTGACTATGAGGTCAGGAAATTAACCCCAAAGTGTAGGGAACTTTTTTTTTTCAATAAACTGGCTATAAAAGGAAGAAGAGTGAAAGAGGCTGATACCTGGAGAGCAGGAATTTGAGTGACAGATAGTTTTTGTTGTTGTTTTTAGACAAGCAAATTAAGTACATTTCAAAGCTGATGAGAATGAGCCTTTGTAAGAAGGGACAAGAGTTGAGAGGCGGGTCATGATAACAGAGGGTTCCTGGAATGAGTAAAAGAGCTGAGCTCCACAGTGGAGGGCAGGTTTGACCTGATATTGGCGGAATGACACTTTTTCCATTGGTGACAGGAAAGGAAGGGGAGAGGCTGGATCTGAAGCCAGAAGATCTGACAGATCATTTAATGGCGGGGCACAGAGTTCCCATCTAATGGCTTCCAGCTGCCCTGTGTGTAGGAGACAAGCCAGCTCTGAGAGTTAACCACAGGGCAAGGGTTGAGGTCTGAGGAAAGTGCAGGAGGTACAAATGAGCCATTGTGCAGAACAGAATGGAGCATGAGCCAGCCAGGGTGACCTGCTGAATAGCTCAGAGGCCCAGCTGAGGGTGAAGGGATGAGCCGCCCACAGTGGCATCAGTCCACCTGGGTGTGAACTTGTGCAGCCTCAGCAGCTTGAGTGCAGAGGGCAGCCACGCAGATGGGGGCGTGGCCTAGCAGGTGCATCCAGAGGAAAATAGGGCAAAGGAGTTCAGAAAATTGGTAGGAGGATGGATAAAGGGATGGCTCACAGAATCTAGGTGGAACAGATAGGTGAGTATAAGCAGCCAAGTGGCCAGTGGAAGGGGAAAGAATTCAAGGAAAGGGACTTCTTAAGGACAGGAAGTGAGTATATCTGTAATAAGAAATACTTGGGGTTATGAACAATCAGAAGCTTGGGCAGTCAGGGGGCCTTGGGTTCAGTGGGATGAAAATAAGAGCAGAAGGGAGTGAACCAAAAAAAATCTCAGCCAAATTAGGTCACTTGTTAAGACCAAGCTTGACCCCAGGAAAAGGGAATAAAAGGCATAGAGCAGCATTGCGGGGGAGCAAAGGGTGACTCAGTTGAAGTACCTCCCCACCATGCCTGAGGCTCTGGTTCAATCTCCAGTACCACCACCAAACAACAGACAAGCAGTACCAGGAA